ACCGCTCCCGGCAGGAACCCGCCAGGGAAAGACATAACTCGCCCCAGGCAAACAGGCCCCCGCCCAGGCAAGACAACCGACATGGGCGTGAGGCGGCCGCTCCTCGTCAAAGGGATGTCTCCCCAAGGCAACGAGAGCAAGACACAGAGAGGCCCAGGGAAGGGCGTAGACACCGAAGAAATAGGCTAACTCAAGATGAGGCCCCTATCCACGAGATAGACACCATATTTGGAGGCCCTTATGTTGGCGGTGAAACACGGAACGCCAAAAGAAACTATGCTAGGGAGGCTAAGCACCCCCCTCTGACAAGCTACATTGTGGATAGTAGCTCTCGAAGAAACCAAGTACCACCCATTGTCTTCACCCAAGAAGACGCCGAAGGAGTTCATTACCCCCACTGCGATGCGCTGGTGGTGAGAGCTATCATAGCCCGAAATGGGCTCAAACGAATGCTAGTCGACAACGACAGCTCCGTCAACATCTTATTCAGGTCTGCCTTTGACAAGATGATATTGGACCACCAGTTGACGCCCACCACCACTCCATTGTACGGATTTACCGGAGATAGCATCACTCCGAGGGGAAAGATAACACTGACAGTAGAGATGGGAGAATCTCCTCAAACTATGATGAACTTTATGGAGTTCCTCGTAGTCGACAGCCGGTCGGCTTACCACGGAGTCTTGGGTAGACCGGCCCTAAAGGAATTGGGAGCAGTCACCTCCATCCACCACCTATGCATGAAATTCCCAACAGAAAATGGGGTGGCAACGGTGAGGGGCGACCAGAGAGGTTCGCGAGAGTGCTATCTGAGCTCCATTAAGAAGGTAGAGCCCCAGGACGTCCATGTGATCATGGCTGATGAGGTCATGGCGGATGTCCCAGGTGACGCTCCCGCCGGCCAGGAAGATGTTGATATGATTGACGCACCACCTATTCAGGAGGTGTTAATCGTTGATGAACTCGACCCCCGCATAATGGAACATGAGCCTCAAGCATCCCCTGTAGAGGAACTTGAGAGCTTCTCAGCCGACCCCCGAGATCCGTCAAAGATGTTGAAGATAGGCAGGGGCTTATCCAACATTTTGAGAGAAAAGATCAAGGACTTCCTAGGTAAGAACCTTGACGTCTTCGCCTGGAGACATGAGGACATGGTAGGTATAGATCCTAAGGTCAGCTGCCACCACTTGAAAATCGATCCTAATTTCGCCCCGCATAGACAAAAAAGGAGAGCCCTCAATCCAGAGAGGTATGAGGCCCTAAAGGAAGAAGTTCAGAAGCTCATCCAAAATGGCTTCATCAGGGAGGCCACTTATCCAAAATGGGTCTCCAACCCGGTCTTGGTTAAGAAACACAATGGCAAATGGAGAGTATGCATCGACTTTACCAACCTTAATAGAGCTTGCCCGAAAGATAGCTTTCCGCTTCCAAGAATTGACCAATTGGTGGACTCCACGGCTGGGCACGAGTTGTTGAGCTCCATGGATGCATACTCCGGCTACAACCAGATCCCCATGCACCCGGCCGATGAGGAGGACACCTCTTTCATCACGGACCGAGGCCTCTATTGCTATAGAATGATGCCTTTCGGGTTGAAGAATGCCGGGGCAACTTACCAAAGACTCGTACCGACCTCATTGGCAAGACAATGGAGGTCTACGTGGATGACATGCTGGTAAAAAGCCTAGAAGTAGAGAACCACATAGTGCACCTCAACGACACCTTCTAAATACTGAAAAGGTACAGGATGAGGCTCAACCCCTTGAAATGTGCCTTTGGGATGGCTTCCTGCAAGTTCTTGGGGTACATGGTCAACCAGCGAGGAATTGAAGCAAATCCCGAGAAGATTGAGGCTCTGTACCAGATGAGGTCCCCTCAAAAGCCAAAGGAGGTGCAAAGTTTAACTGGACCAGTGGCAGCACTTAGTCGCTTCGTCTCCAAAGCAACTGACAAGTGCCTCCCATTTTTCAAAGTGCTCAAGGCTGGGAAGAAATTCCAATGGACTGAGGAATGTGAAGAGGCCTTCCGAGGATTGAAAAGGCACTTGGGGCAGGCCCCCCTCCTCTCCAAGCCAAAGCCCGGTGACATTTTGCAACTATATCTCGCCGTCTCCAATGACGCCATCAGTTTGGTTTTGATTCGAGAAGAAGGGTCCACCCAACTTCCCGTCTACTATACGAGTAAAGCGCTCCTATCGCCGGAGACCCGATACCCCGATATGGAGAAGCTTGCTTTGGCCTTAATCACGGCCTCTAGGAAATTGAGACCTTACTTCCAAGCTCATACAATCCATGTACTTACAAATTTTCCCCTGAGGCAAGTACTCCAGAAGCCCGATGCCTCGGGAAGATTGTTGCAATGGGCAGTGGAACTAAGTGAATTTGACCTCGTGTTCAAAGCAAGGGCGGCCATCAAAGAGCAAGCGTTAGCATACTTTGTCGCTGAATTCGCCAACCTACCCAAGGTGGATGAAATCATGGAGCCCGTCGAACCCCCCACGTGGAGTCTCTTAGTAGATGGCTCAGCTGGGGATGTCGGCTCAGGTGCCGGGGTTGTCCTCATCAGCCTCGAGGGTCACAAACTCACCTCAGCCGTGAGGTTCGGGTTCAAAGCTACCAACAATGTTTCAGAGTATGAAGCACTCCTTGCAGGCCTCAGATTGGCCAAGGAAATGCAAGTAAAGAAGCTACTCGTCAATAGTGACTCCTAGCTGGTTGTTAGCCAAGTCAATGGTAATTTCTCAGCCAAAGACAGAACAATGGCCTCCTATCTGAAAATGGTGATGAGCCTCATCCCATCCTTTGAAAAGTTCGAGTTAATCCAGATTCCCCACATCGAAAATGCTCATGCGGACGCACTCTCGAAGCTGGCTAGTAGCAAGGACTCAGAGCTACTCGCTGTAGTGCCTATCGAGCATCTCTTACTGCCTTCTACCGAGGCCCCTAATGTCATGTGGGTCGGTGGAATTCCCACCTGGATGCAACCAATTATAGCATATCTGAAAGACCAGGTGCTACCCACCGACAAAAATGAGGCTTACAAGCTGAGAAGGAGGTCAGCCCATTTTCTCTTCATCGATGACATTCTTTACAAGAGAAGTTTCTCCTTTCCACTCTTACGATGTGTCGGAGGAGAAGAGGCTACATACATACTAAGAGAAGTCCACGAGGGAGTGTGCGGCAACCACTCTGGAGGCCTATCTCTGGCACAAAAAATATTGAGGCAAGGATATTAATGGCCTACCCTGAAACGGGATGCACTCGAATTTGTGCGAAAATGTGACAAGTGCCAACGATTCTCTCCCGTTCAAAGACGACCATCACAGGATCTGATTGCGGTCTCCAGCCCCTGGCCTTTCTCAAAGTGGGGTGTGAATCTCATAGGCCTTCTACCAAAGGGTAGAGGAGGCGCAAGTTTTGCAATAGTGGCCATTGATTACTTCACGAAGTGGGTCGAAGCTGAACCACTGGCAAAAATCACAGAAGCAAACACCTCCAAGTTCCTATGGAAGAGTATCATTTGTCGGTTCGGAATTTCCTACTCGATCGTCTCAGACAATGGCAGGCAATTCGATAACAAGAAGGTTAGAGAACTATGTGAAAATCTTGGCATAAAGAAGCACTTCTCTACACCTCACCACCCACAAGCCAATGGCCAGGTTGAAGCCGTAAACAAGACAATCAAGCACGTCCTGAAAAGGAGGCTTGATGTGTCCAAGGGAGCTTGGGTTGATGAGCTGCCCCAAGCACTTTGGGCAATCCGAACCACCACCAGGACCCCAACTGGGGAGACCCCTTTCCTCATGGCTTTTGGGACTGAGGCGATGAGCCCCGTGGAGGTCGGACTCCCATCTCCACGACGTTTGCACTTTAGCGAAGTGACCAACGACGAGCTTCGGAGGCTAGACCTCGATTTCATTGAGGAGAGGAGGGACGACTCCCAGCTGAGGCTAGGCACCTACCAAAGGAAGATGACAAGGTACTTCAACTCCAAAGTCAAGAAGAGGTCTTTCCGAATCAACGATCTCGTGCTCAGGAGGGTCTTTCCATCTTCAAAAGAACCCGGTTCCGGCTCCCTGGGACCGAACTGGGAAGGTCCATACAAGATCAGAGAAGAAATCCGACCTGGAACCTACTGGATTGAAGACATGGACGGCAAGGCACAACCCCGTCCATGGAACATTGAACACCTCAGAATCTTTTATCAGTGAATTGTATCATGCTGGATGACTTTCCCAGCCTTTGTAATATTTCTATGGCTCAATAAAATGCGTTGATTAAATCGTTATACTACGTTGTCACCTCGGAAGAGAGGCTTGGGACCCACCATTGGGCCATCTCGCTTGAACTCCGAGGCTCTAGCACATGCCTCCCTTTTGGCCTTGCTGAGCGCCAAGGGGAGAAGCCTCAACATGGCTGCACCATCCACCATGTCTGGGATGCGTCGTAACCTCAGAGGAGAGGCTCGGGACCCACCACTGGGCCACCTCGCTGGAACTCCGAGGCTCTAGCACATGCCTCTCTTTTGGCCTTGCTGAGCGTCGAGGGGAGAAGCCTCAACATGGCTGCACCATCCACCATGTTTGGGATGCGTCGTAACCTCGGAGGAGAGGCTCGGGACCCACAACTGGGCCACCTCGCTTGAACTCCGAGGCTCCAGCACATGCCTCCCTTTTGCCTGGCTAAACGCCGAGGGGAGAAGCCACAACCTTAAAACCGAAGCTCCAATAGTTCATCTCTTTAAGTTATGTTCATTTGCTTAAGTCCGAGGCTCCAACAGTTCATCTCCTTAAGTTATGTTCATTTGCTTAAGTTACGTTCATTTGTTAAAGTTATTTAGTTCGTGCTCTTACCAACTTCCAGTTCGTTTGTTTAAATGAGGCATAAAAACTTGGATAAAGAACAACAATGAAGGAAGAAAAACATTATATTAATATTCAAAAGGGATTACAAAGGAGGGCTTCTGGCCATTACACAAAGTACTGAAAAGGAAAACCTAATCTAAGCCTGGCTAGATGAAGGAGGCGCCTTAGCACTGGGGGGTTCGGCAACCTGGGCATCAGTAGTTGTTTCCCCTGCCTCAACATTTGGGGCTTCGGCATCAGCTGCCTCGTCACCCTGCACCTCCTCAGCTAGGGTTTGAGGAACCTCATCCACAAATTCGGACCTAAGTTGTGCCAGGTCCAAGTTGGGATAAAGCTCCTCTGCCCTCTCCAGCACTTCGGCATAGGCGAAGTTCCTCCAGCACGTGCTGAAGCTTTTATACTCCTCTGTAGTATGGAAATTGGCGATGTATGCCTTCACCGCCTCTTCCGCTGCAGTTCGGGCCTCTTCTCTGGCAACCGAGGCGTCGTTCATATACCACTTCGCCTGGCCTTCGAGAAACTGATTGGCATCACGAGCGCCGGCTAAGGCGAGATTCGCCTGCTCCAGAGCCTCAGCAGTCACCTTTTGGTGTTCATTAGAGACCTCCACCTTCTTTGTCAAGGAGGCCACCTTGCACTGTGACTCATATACTTCCCTCTTAAGGGCCTCGATTTGGGCCAAAGTAGACTCGAGCTTCGCCGCTTCTTCTACCCTCTGTGCTTTAGCTTCTTCGGCCTCGGCCTTAGCAACTTTGACCTCCCCTGCAAGGGAGGCAGCCTTCCCCTCTGAGGCGTGAGTCCTTGTCTGAAATTCACTTAATGCCTCCCTGCATTCGAGCGCGAGGCCAAAGGTCCGGGCGCTTTGGCTCACCAGTGCCCTTATGAGGTCGGTGGCATCACAAGACGAGGCATGAAGCTGCCACCTCTCCGTCGAGAACTTATAAAAGCTCTCGGTGGCACCTCTAATTTCCTCAGGGAGAGCCTCCACCAAGGCTGGGGCCAGCTCATCCTCCCTCCCAGCTAGGAAGTTAGGAGACTTCCCCTTCTCCCGAACCGGCTTCTCCTTCGCCGCCTCCTCTTCGGTGGCTTCTGCAACTCGCCTTGCAGCCTCTTCTCTGGCCTCTTTAGCTTCCACCTCTCTTACCATCTCCATTTTGATGGCCTTAGAGGCTGCAGCAAGGAGCTTTAGCTCACCGGTCTGTTCTGCCCTATGGGACACTGAAGTCCCGAACTTGCTAGCTGAGCTGGAGATGTGCACCAGCTTCCTCTTCTTAGTCTCCTCAGAGACTTTCTCCTTGCCCCGAGGCTCCTTAGGCTTCTCTGGCCTCTGAGTAGATGCCTCCTCCGAGGCCCTAGGAGTACAGTCCTTCGACAGGCGCTCAACCCTGCCTCGAACTTCCTTTGCTCCACTGGACCCGGGCTTCAGGGGCCTCGCCTTTGCAGTAGAAGTGGCCTTCAAGATGGAGGCCATGTCTGGAGCTGGGTACTCCCTCTTCTTGAATTTATCTGCACCATAGATTAGCATCAGCACAAGAAACATTCAAGTTAAACATCAAGTGTTGGAGCCCCATACCTCTGGATGCCATCAGCCCGAAGTCCAAGAAGTATCTGCTTCTATCAATCAGGTGATCGAAGTGCCGAAGCTTCAGAGGCCTCTTGTAAATGTCCTCTATCACCTCGAATTCCTCCCTGCTGAGCTCGAACCTCGTACTACTATCTGCAAAGACGAACCTTCAACAGTTAGACGAGTAAATACTCTGATTTCAAAACACAAGCAGAGGTCGGGAGACTCACGGCTTCGTAGTACTGGGTCGGCACTGTGCATGACAGGGCTTTGTCACCCTCCACTGCCTGCCATTTACCTCGCACCCAGAACCAGGACTCCTTCCACCCCTTGATAGAAGAAGGAAGTCCCACCACAAAGGGTGCGTGAGCCCCCCAAGGCGTGAGGTAGTACCACCCCCTTGACTCCTTCCCAATTACCCGGGGCTGGAACAGGGTCATGAAGACATGAAGAGGCATGTCCTCCCCCAATGACACTTCCTTCCACAGGAAGTACGAGCCGACCAGCTGGCTCTACCCATTCGGTAGAACCTGGGTCGGCGACAGCATGAATTTCCTAAGCACCGCCCTAAAAAAGGGGTGCAAAGGAAGACGCATACTTGTTTTGAACAGATATTCACTCACGGCAACGCAGCCGGGCCTCGGATAGCAGGCTCGCTCGTTCGGTTCGGGGACCAACATCTCTATGTGATGAGGCACATTGTACCTCTCCCTAGGTTCCCCCAACCTCTTCCCCGTCATGTTTGAGGGCACTCTAGAAGCCCCCCACTCCTAGGTATAATCCACGTCCTCCTCGACCATGGCATACCTTTCCACCTCGGACGTCCCCCCATGACCTACCCCATGGTCTAAAGACGCTACTATGACAAGCTCCCTACCCGAAGTGGACTCCATTTTTTGAGGGCAAAGAATAACAACGGTGTTTTATGCAAACAATACCTAAAACAGTTCAACACAAACGGAGACCGGTCGGAATCTAATCGCAGACAACCTCGACGCCGAAAATTGGGAAATTTGAGAGAATTTGAGAATGCAAAGTGTTCAAAATTTCTGGAAAGCGGGATCTTCTCGCCTTTTATAAAGATCCAAGACGAACCCCATCCGTCAGTTCAAATCTCAGTCAATCCGAGTCCTCCGTTTCAGATCGAGTCCGAGGCGTTGAATTCTAACAGTTTTTGAAATCCTACGCCTCCTATCTATGCGTACCTCACACGCACCTCTCCAGCGCGTCCGCTTCTAGAAACGCCAGCTGCGCTCATAATTGCATTTTTAATTCGTTGGCGCCAGCGCCTTGGAAGTCGTAACGGTTCAGCTACCTTTCCTCGAAAACAAGCACAAAACATCAAATCATTGGCACAGAGACCAAAGCATAATCATTACCATTGGACCTCGGCTTCTTCACACCCATTCAACATTCAAGCCTCGCAGGTTCGGTTTCTCAACCACCTCGGCTTCTTCAGATGCCATTCAACATTCAAGCCTCGCAGGTCCGATTTCCCAACCACCTCAGCTTCTTCAGAGGCCATTCAGCATTCAAGCCTCGCAGGTTCGGTTTCCCACCCACCTCTGCTTCTTCAGATGCCATTCAACATTCAAGCCTCGCAGGTCCGGTTTCCCAACCACCTCGGCTTCTTCAGATGCCATTCAACATTCAAGCCTCGCAGGTTCGGTTTCCCAACCACCTCGGCTTCTTCAGAGGCCATTCAGCATTCAAGCCTCGCAGGTTCGGTTCCTCACCCACCTCGGCTTCTTCACACCCATTCAGCATTCAAGCCTCGCAGGTTCGGTTTCCCAACCACCTCGGCTTCTTCATCATACACCTACAACAAAACTTCTCTAACTCCAACCATGATATAAATATCTATACTTGGACTTGGTGGACTATTATTTGGGGGTTCAAAAAAATTTACTCCATTAAAGTCCACACATTACATTAATGATTATACTTGGACTTGGGGGACTATTGTTGCGTGTTGTCACACCTGTCCTACCCACCTGGGCTAGTGGCCCACTCATCCTGATCCACGTGGCATTCCTGTCGAGGTGGCCCACATTGCCGAGGTGGGTTATATCCGAACTGCTTCTAACCGAGGCCCATGGCCCGAGGCGTGGAAGCCTTTGGTTGTAGCTGAGGTCCTCAAATGGACGAAGCCCCGAAGTTGATGCGCGAGCCTCAACCACAAGGAAACATCCTCCATGGTCACTTCTCCCAAGAGATTGCCTGCACATATCTTATTCGAATGATTGATGGAATGTCTGTCATAAGCATAAAGGTCAAGTCTTGTCACTAGCATGGAGGCCCTGCACAAGCAATAAATGCGCCGTAAGCTAGCAAGTCAAATCCCATGCCTAAGAACAGACATTTAAACTAAGGAGATGAGGCCACGTGCCACTTCATCCAAGGGTCTCCATTCCATATGTATCACTATAAATACCCCCATTGTATAATGTCAAAAGGCTAATGCAAGAATCAATACTAAAGACTACATTTACTCAACTCTCTCAGTTACTTGCAATACATAAATCGAATTTATACACTTTCACATATACATTTGCGAGCACCGGTTGGTAATTATTGTACAATCGGATTACGAACAACCCGCCGGATTTCGAACGTCACCGTCCCGCGTCATTGGGCTACTCCCACGCCCTTTCGAACCGCTCATTTTAGACCGTCCACATGTCTTAGCGTGTTGGACATTCGTCCACGCAAGCGCGGGTGGGACCGGCATCTGTTGGCGCACTTTTTGGGGTCAACAGAACGCACAATTTTATCAGCATCCTGCAAAGAAAGTTACCTACATTGAAGGTTTTCACTACACTAAACAAAGTGAAAGTAAAGGTGAAGCAAAGATTACCTTATCAGCAATCTTGGAAGGTGGCATATCCCCAGCCAAATCTACCACTTGTGGCTCCACCATTTGTGAGGACTTCCACTTGTCTAAGCGAGAAGAACTTGCTGCAACGGGCATACTCATGGGAGCATCTGCAGAACTCAAAAAGCAACAAATCAAAAACCAATAGCACAAGCAAAGGTGAAGCATCAAAAAATGAATTACCTTCTGATTCGACGTTTGGGGGGGGTCAACGCCTTGGGAAGAAGGTGGCTCATTCATTGGTTGTGATGAAGATTCTGGGACTGAAGATTTCTCTTTAAGCGTAGTCCCTTTATCAGCTGGTTTGGACGAAGCAGCCTTAGTAGAGGATGATGGAGCAGGAGCTGCCAACACCAAAGCCTTCAAAGGAGAGGCTGAACTTTTCTGAGAAATCTAAATAAACCATCAGCACATAGAAAAGTTTCAAGTATGGAAAGGTATGCTTGTAAGTAAACCAATTTAATTACCTTCCTCCTGACAATGAGAGGGGTGTCATCATCATCATCATCAGCATCATCGTCCAAAATAGGAGATGTTGAGGTTGGCCGTTTGCGGCTTGGGGCACTTTTAGCTGCAGTGGGCTTGGCAGGAAGAGAAGTTGATGGACGAGCAGACTGTTTAGCACGAGCAGGGGAAGAGGGACTCCTAATGGACACAGGAGTGATCAAAACAGGAGAGGTGGAAGAAATATTTAGCTGGTCCAGTGAATGGAAAGCACGATTGGCATCAGTCGCAAATAATCTGCGCTTCACTGATGGCCAGAGTCATTCAAAAAGGGAATGGATGGCACGGCTAGGATTGAAAGGGGCTAATGAAAATTTGCTCGTCAAAAGAATATTGCGAACATCTATAGCTTCTGCCTCTGCCTTATTAATGGTGTGGAAGCGGTCTATTAAATTTCTTGAATAGTAAGGGGGAACGGGCCAAGTTTGGCCAAAGCTAAGTTGGCGAGCAAAAAATTGGGGAGCGTATATTTCAACCCGAGCTTTAGCATTGGTTCCAGTCAAAATATCATGGAACAACTCCCTCCCGGTCAAAAACTGAATCCAAACAAACAGAGAGGTGCTCGCACTATCCATAGTGGATGGAGGTTGCACATTGTTCGCAAAATTATTTCTTCTCGATTTTAAAACCCACCGCAAGTGTACGGTTCATTAACAAGTAGTAAAGTGGACTATGAGTCCAAGTATCGTTCCCACGAGGATTAAATTAGATCTAATTAAACTAATGTGACCTTAACCGAATCTAATTGAATGAAAATTTGGTTTAAATATGAAAACCCTAATTTTGGGAGAAATCCCCAATTCGAAACCCTAATTGCAAAGAAAACCCTAATTTCAAAATTGGAAACCCTAATTTCAAAATTTCACTAATCTAATGAAATAAATCTGCAACTGAAATGTAAAAATGCAATTTTAGAATTATTGTATTGAAATGAATTGAAATGAAATCATTAAGAACTTGAATCCCCAATTGACTATTAAAAACCCTAATTTCACAAATTCAACGAATCGATGAACAAAATGCCAATTCAATGTTCCTAAATTATCCAATACACTCTCTCGATATATATTGAATCTACTCTTACACACCACCAGCCTATATTTCTATGGATGATGCAATGTATAAGAATGCATGACTTTTTATGAACATTTTCATGAATTGCATAAAGCATAGAGGTAAGTTTCCATCCCCTATCGGACCCTATGTCGATTTATATTCTATCGAATTTATTCCCCTTCTTTCGAAAGCAAAGAATAAATCATCTACAATCACATAATAGTTTCGAGCCTGTGTGAAATTGAATCCAAAATCAAGTTTCTTGCCTCCAATTTTGGTCTCTCCCTTCTCCCTGGTCGTTCTCCTTCTTCATATCATGAATTTTGGTATTTATATCGCGTCCAAATTAAGTAGGAAAGGAGTTTCAACCAAAACGAAAAACTGCGCCCGAGACCCAAAAAATTATTCTATGCGACCGCATAGAATGAATCTATGCGGTCGCATAGTTCAAATTGTTTGGACTCATTGAGTCCCTGGACTTCTTTGTTGCTTCTCTTAACTTCTTTCTTCAATTTCTTCATCTTTTCAACAAATTTTATCTTCCAATTGATGATTGATACCATCAATTCTTATGCCCCTCATTCGGCATATCTTTTGAGTATTTGCGCTTTAGTCCTCCAACTTTCAATTGTCTTCATTTCAGTCCCTCTTCAATATTTTCTTCTTCCAATTGTTTTGCTTTGTCATTGAGCTCATACTTGGCATGTCTTCCCTCTCATTTTGCATTTAGCTCAACTTTTCAATATTTGCACCTTTGGTCCTCGAACTATCAAATTGTTGCGTTTTGGTCCTTCTTCGGCTCTTTTCTCCTGAATTTCACAATTTCCATTGAATTACCTACAATGCATAAATTTAACTGGATTAAGTCACAATTCAACCATTTTATCCATGTTTAAGTCATGTTTATGATCCAAATAAGTGTGTAAAAACACACTTATCACACATAATCCGGAGTCAAAAAGGGAGGAAAAGGAAAGAAGGAAGGGATTGAATCCAAAGTATAAAAGAATGAAAAAATGTCCCTTCTGGACATATTTACAAGAGTCAGAGGATCAATGGCTAGCCCATAGCAGCTAGCAGAAGGACTGGAAAAGGATGGAGCACCAAGCGATGGAAAATAGGCTCTCAACCACATTTGAGTGAACTAAAGAGGCCCACTACCAGTGGGAGATGCACCATTCTTCAATTGGAATTGAAGAGAAGCCATGCCTCTATAGAGGATAGTTAAAAAGAAAGAACACAAATTTAGAGGCCTACCATGCGCCAATTCGTGAGCTATGGGTAAATAACTCATGGAGGGCTTCA